TAACGTCTCATAATACTCGAGGCACAAATCTCAACCCACCTTTGCTAGAGTTTACCAAGTATTCACTCTAACTCATCCGTGTAATTCATGGAGCACGTTTCCATAAAGGGAGAGGTAAAGAAATACATCCCAACAGAGAGAGAGGAAGAGAAATAATATACTTTTGGGTAATAATGGGCTTTGAAGGAAATAAAACAGTGAAGTCATGCGTGAGGGCTACTGGCCAGTCAGGTGGAGAGATGGCCTTTAGGACCAAATGGTCAAAAAGAGCCAGTCATGAAAAGATCTGAGGAAGAATGTTCTAGAGAGCAAAAAAGCAAGCACAAAGACCCTGTGTGGCAGAAAGACACTTGACGTATTGTTAAGTCACAAAGCCAACGTGGCTGGGGTAGAGTGAATGAAGGATAGTGGCATATGAGGTCAGAGAAGTGGGAAGGGCCAGATCATGTAAATCCTGAGTGTGGGCCCCGTAGTAAGGCAGGCTAGTGGCTAAATTCTAAGATGGAAAGCTATTGGAGGTCATTAAGCTGCAGGGTGACATGCCCTGATTTAGATTTTTAAAGGATCAGATCACTGCCCTTGGAGAGGACTGGGGCAGGAGTGAGGGCGCAAAAGCAGAAGCAGGAGAAGCAGGTAGCAAGTGGCTACTCCAGCTTACAGCAGGTTGGAACTTAACAGCCAAGCATCCATACAAGCTCCGTGTCCTCTGCCTCCTCCCTGATCATTCCTTTCATCTTATCTACTTTTTAGAAGTATATACACTTATTTCTCCCCTGAGTGGAAGAGACGATAGGATCTCAATGCTATGATCCACCCCCAGCCTCATCCAGCCCTGAGTCATGGGCAAAAGCACTTAGGGAGGTCTCCAGACTTGACCTGGCAGCCCTCCCATGAGCGACTGCCTCAGAGAGTTGTGCTTTACCCTGGCACCACCCGCTGGTGGCCTCCTTTCACCCTCTTGATCTTACCAGCTCTTGCCTGAGGACACGGCTGTCCCACACTCCTCTGAAGGGCTGACTGCTTCCTCTCCCTCATCATGGTTATCCTGCTTGTGTCTTGTTGCCTCTTTTGGGTAATTACCTGTCTCTCTTTCCAAGCCCTGTCTTCCCAGCTTTGAAGCTCTCTCCATCAGCCCGTACCATCCAAATGCCTATGTGCTGTGATCATGGCTGTCCCACACTCCTCTGAAGGGCTGACTGTTTCCTCTCCCTCATCATGGTTATCCTGCTTGGTTATCCTCCCAGCTTTGAAGCTCTATCCATCAGCCCGTACCATCCAAACGCATATGTGCTGTGATCACCTATAGACCACTCCCACCCTGGCCACCCCTTTATTTCTTGAATGTTGAGCTCCTCTCTCTCTCCAATATTGTTCCCATCACTGTTCTTGGTGATTTCCATTTCCATGCAGATTACTGAGCATCTAATCCTCATCGAATACCACCCCCGTTCCTTAACCCTTCTGCCAGTGATCTTGCTCTCCATCCCACTTCAGTAATCATACCTAGGCCTTGTCATTACCAGTAACTCATCCCCTCCATGCCTCAAGTTTGAGACCCACAGTCCAACAATTCCACTGTCCAGTTTCCCAACAATTCTCGAACCCAAATGCAACCTCTAGTACACAGATCCTACCACCTTTTCACATCCCTCACCTCTGTTGTGTTCTCACTTCCAGCTCACTTACACTGAGCCCAGGGGTTCACAGTTATATGTATCAATACCATATCAATATCATCATCCATTCCTTGTGTGCAAGCTCAGCTCCCTGTGCCCCTCTTCTCCCTGAAGCACTTCTCACCAAATCTGGCTAAATTGAACTTTCCCTGACCTACAACTCCACCAACAGAGCTGAACATGGCTTGAGAAAAGCAAAAACAGGCTTACTACTCTCACTTCAAAGATGAGACCACCAGCACCAAGTGGACCTGATGCTGTCTGGCAACCATTCTGTAACACCCTGACCTATTCCCAACTCCAGTCTTCTAGTTCCTTCCTGGTTTCTCTCCTGTAACCTCCAGTGGTCCATCCCCAACCTTACTCTCACTGGTCTTCAATCACTGAAAATGATATAAGCAACATGAAAATACCCTGCACTTGCTTCTGAAACCTGCCTGTGCCCGGGCCCCGACTCCTTACCTTTCCTTCTATCACTGAGGTTGAACCATCCCTGTTCCTGTCTGAGCCGGCTGTCCTAGGGCATATTCTCTTTCATTCGCTGAAAACAACACTCCACAACTCTCTCCTTTCTCCTGCATGATCAGTTTCTCCCCTCTACTGGAATTTTCCCAATAGCATAAAAATGCACTTTGATTGGATGCATCTTAAACAAATAAAACTCTTGAGGTTGCACCAGACCCAGGTCTACAGTCAGGCAATAGCACCAGGTAGAGTGTGAACCCAGGATGGTGCAGGTGTGTTTGTTGGTGTGTTGTGGAAGAGCAGTGCCCAGAGTTTAGGTTGGGAATTGTGCATTGTTGTCTCCTTTTTTGTGGGAGCAGAAAATAGTGAGAAGGAAGGAAATTTACAAAGCACTCAAAAGGATAGAAGAAGGCCTGAGAGTAAGAGAAGTGCATGCATCTACTTATTTTTTGTTTTTATTTTTAGAGGGATTTTTTTTTTTGTCATAGGGCGCGTGTGCTTGCCAGAGAGATGGAGAGAGACAGAGAGAGAGAAAACTAGAAATCACCCCCGGGGGGGGCGGGGGCATGGCCACACCACAATCCCTTCTCCTCCATTCTCCAAACAAACAGAACTCTTTGGGCTTCACTTTCTCCTCCAGAGGCTGCTTCATTTTCTTGCTGTCTTTCTTGGTAAAGCTCCCCCAAAGAGCTGTTCCGTTGTCTTCCTATGGCTCATTGTTGTCCCATTGTCCTCCTATGGCTTTAGCACCACTCCAAACAACAACCTTGGCCACGGTCACCCATCATCACCTGCTAAGTCCAATGCAATGATTCTCTTCTCCTGTTTGACCTCTCAGCAGAATCTGATACAGTGAATCCTTCTTCCGCCCTTCTTTGGCTTCCAGAAAACCAATCTCTTTAGTTTCTCCTCTTCCCTTCCTGGCTGTTCCCTCCTCATTTATTTCTGACAATATCCTTCTTCCCAGATCCTAAATATTGTAGCACCTCAATGCTCAGTTCTCTAACTTCCCTCCTCCATCTACACTCATTCTCTTGTCTGACCTTACTTTTTTAGAGAGGGATTTTTGCTATAGGGTGCATGTGCTTGCCAGAGAGATGGAAAACAAAAAGTCACCCCCTGGGGCAATATTCATGCCACAATTCCTTCTTCATTCTCCTCTTGGGATTTTGGGCACACATGCACATGGTGCCTGGTATGAGTTTCAAGCCACCGGGTCCAGGACTCAAACCACAGTTGACTACATAGGAATCCAGTGATGTAACCATTATGCCATCTTCTGGTCCCCTCTTGTCTGATATTAAGGCTTCTTTAAGTACTCTCCCAACACTACCACATCCCAAATCCCTGACCAGCCTGTGCATCTCATGGACTCCAGACCCAAGCTTGACAATATATTGGGTTGTCAGTAAAGTCACATCATATTTTTTCATGTTTTTCTATGTAAAAATGCATCATGGCTTTTCCGACGACCCAATAGTAACCTCTAGAAACATGTGGCTATTTAATTACCACCATGAGCACCACCACCATCAGCATTACCACCACGGTCACCAAATTAACTCCTGCAAATACAGACACGGGACCTGCATCAATGGAATGGATCTGAGCGATTTGGTAAGACGGCTTGATGGGTGTGCAGCAGTAAAATGTGTTCATGATCAGTTAATCTCTTAAACTCTAGTCTTGGGCAAGTGACAAGAGGAAAACGTTCCTACCCAATTACAATTATTCATGAGAATTTTCCTGGCCCTGCTTCTTTTGTCTGCCAGTGACTCTGACGGAAACAGCCCGGTAAGGAAGTGCTGCTGCGAAAGGCAGGGCAATTATGCGTCTTGCTGCAGCTCGGATTGTGTCTTCCTTCCTGAACTCTTAATTAATTCCATCCCCATATTCCTAGTTTGTTTCCTGACCCTCTTGCTGATATTGTATTTTCCCCTTCATTTCTCTTGACATTCTCCCCCCTGAGCTCCCCAGTTCTCTTCCGGGTCCTTGTGTGTACCCCCAAACTGCCCCCGTGTTGATCCTTCAGCATCCCTCCACCTGCTCTGCTCTTTCTTATCCTTTTCACCTTTAAAAACTGAAAGCACCAACCTGACAGACACTGTTATGATTTTTTTTTCCCCTCTCCTGCCTGAGCTGCAGCTAAGGCTCTCTCCTCCTTGCTTCTATAGCGAGAGCCCGAGTACTGAGTTGCCATGGCAACAGCAGATCCAACCAGGCCGGTCCCAGCGACGCTAGGAACTGCCATGGCGAGGAAGCCGCTACAAGTCGCCCCTGAGCCTGGATGGGTCGTGAGCATCGTAATTCAAGCCTAGGCTGGGCAGATTCTGCCCGGAGACTGAGCTGGTACATGAGGCCCACAGTTGAACGGCGCCTTAGGAGACACCGCCATCAATAATAAGCTTCCGCGGAGCGAGCAGAATCATGACATGATGAGGATTCATTTGAAAATTTTCAAACATCCCTATTCTTTTTATCTTCTCCAAGGGAGAACCCTTTGCACCCCCTTCTCTCTCTCTCTCTCTTTCTCTCTCTCTCTCTCTCTCTCATCTTGGGGAACTCTGCAGAAAGTAATAGCAAATCTCCCTTTTTTTAGCAGTTCTCCTTACCATGGTAAACCTTTCCCTCCCACCCCCATGTGGGGCAGCTCCAAGTGGCTGGGGTCAAATGACAGCGACACTGACATGGCTGGAAGCAACTCTGAGAATTAATTAGGATTACACAATAATTTAGTCTTTGGAGCGATCGGTTGCCCCCAGGTTATTGGAATGGATTGTTAAAGTAGGGCAACAAGTGTTCTGCCACATGACACTTTCTCGAAAATGTGAGGGGGTGAGAAGAAAACTCAGGAAATACCTTTGTGACGAATGGCACCAACCGCAGTGAGGGTCTGTGGCTGTTAAACACTCCGAGCAGGATTTATGTTTACTGCAGTTTGCAACACGAATTCTCCTCACCTAAAAATAAAGATGACAGGAGTTCAGATGGAATTATAAGCAACACCAGGAAAACGACAACCCCTTATCTGATGAAGGGCCCCAAAGAGTGCATTTATCAACTTGAACTCAATGTCTCCATAAAGACATCGGGCAGCGGGTCTCAAGTCCTGGAAGATGAAGTGGTTATATCAGCCTCACCTGGGGAGTTTTCAAAGTCTAGCCTCTGAGACTCTCCTAAGTCTAGGGGTGGGGCCTAGGAGTCTGACTTTGCAGGGCTTTCTCCAGTGAGTCTGCCATGGAGTCTGGTTTTTGAATTGCTAGTATGGTTTTCTGTAGAGATCATGAAACCCAGTCACCTGGCTTTCATACAGAGACAGTCACTGTGTGGTCAGTGGAACGTGGGAAATGAGCATCTGGGAATAGCCAAAGGCCCTGCCCGGCCAGTATCAGCATAGGTTGGCACTGAATGTGGCACTGAAGAAGCCAGGTACCAGAACTTCCTTCAACCCCAGCAGGGCTAGCTCCAGCACTTCAGCCCCCGGCTTGCAGGCTCACACCCTCCACTGGAGGTGCGAAGAAACAGGAGGGGTGTTCGAATCACTTCTCTGCCCCCAGAGCTGCCTCTCCCATGTGTCAGGAAACAACAGACCACATTGCTAGGGGCACCTGGGCCAAGCAGACCCAGGCAGCTGAGACTGTGAAACAAGATGCCCAGAGGCAGGGAGACCTGAGTGTCATGGGGCGGGTTTGCTATGGACAAAATCACACGGCGGGTGGTGGGGAAACTTGAGAACCTCATTATGCCAGAAAGTTGTGCATATGAGAAGGTATAAGAAAGTTCTTAGAAAGGTCAGAGAGGCCCAGACAAAGTGGTATAGGCAGTAGGGTACTACGCCCACCATGTTGGAGGCCACATGGAAGACCAGAGTTTGAATCTCAGTCAACCTGAGCATGCCAGGGGTGCTCAAGCATGTACCCAGGATGCTGGCCATAAAGACTGGGAGAAAGGACGTAGTGAGATCCTGACCCGGATGTCTGTCTGTCTCCATCTCTCTTTCTCATAAAAGGGAAAAAACACATTTTCAAAAAGTTAGAGAAACCGAGAGTTCCAGAAGGGGTTTGTGAGGAAAACAATATGCTGAGGAGGATCCTTCAGTTCTAAGTTGAATTCATGAAGGCCAGCCATGTCCTCCCATCTCACAGACCTGGATGCTGCTGACAGCCACCAGACCATGAGTCTGAGCCAGAATTAACTAGAATGCGGTTACTTCCTTGTAGCTCACAAAACATCTTTTTGATTCGGGGGGGGGATTTTATTAAGTGTCACATAATCTCTTTTGCCTTGTTTTTTTTCATCTGTAAAATGGGGATGGTACCATTGACTGTCATCACAGAGCTATTAAAGACATTGTAGGCACATACTGCATGCTCATAAGTATTGGCTATTGCTATTATGTGAGAAAAAGGTTCCATGGTCCAACAAACATGAAACCTTAGACTGAAAAAGCTAAATGGGTTTACTTAACACCAGGCTTCTGAAAACCTTTGAAAAAGCTCAGCGCCATGGTATTCCAGGAGGAGTATAGCAAGTAACAACTGATCACACGACCACTTTAGCTCAGTGCAGTGGAATGTCTTCAGCACATTCTGTGAGAACTGCTACTCCACATATGTAAACATGTGATCATAATGCTGTGTAAAACAGGGGACACTCTGAATACTACGTTGGACCTGGTCTCTAATTTAATAGTGCAATGCCGTGACTATTCTACATCAATCCACGAATTTCCATATAACTTTTTCCCCTAAGATAGAGTCTGGCTATGTTGCTCAGGCTGGCCTCACATTTCCAATCCTCCTGTCTCAGCCTCTTGAATAGTTAGGATTATAAGCAAAAACCACCACAACCAGCAATATGATTATTTTTAATGGTCATATAATACCATTTTATGGATATCCCATGGCTCATTAGTTTGGCTGTTACTATCTCCCCAAGAGTCTAGGAAAGAACCTGCCTTGGATTTTGCTTCTCTAGGGGTTACACAGGCTCAACCAGAGCCAACTAATAGGATATCTAACAGTATTCCTACATAAAGAAATCAACAATTTAGATACACTCTCCCTAGGACCTCACGTTTTGAATGACCAGAGACTAAAACTCTTTACTTTTCAGAAGATGAAGACTTGCCACCTCCTGCTGGCTTTCACAGTGGTTCCCAGCCTACAGTTCTAGGTCCTGAGGGTCTATTACTATCCATGAAGATAAGATGGGAATTTATAAGCTATTTGCAATATTCCAAAAGGCTGAGTGGAAAAGCATGCACAGATTAGGCAAGACTCAATATCTTTGCTTGGGGTGGAATTTTATCTGCTCCATGTGGCAGTACAGTCAGTACTTTCACAGGCAGCTTTGAGACACCCTTGATAAATAAAGCCTGGGAATGGGAATTGCTACTTAATATATGCGGTTCGTTGAATAGAACAAAATCTTTCAAATGTGGGATCCTCAGGGGAGAGAGGTAATAAAAAGTGTTTGAATGGTGAGACAAGCTGGCATAAAGGTTTCTGTATGGTGGTGAACTGGTGTACAAAAGTGTGTGAGATTCAGATGTGATCATCTCAATGTGGTCGTTTTGATATAACTGACTTTCAGTGTGCAAAGAGAAAATGGCCTTTTAAGACTACCAGTAGCTACAAAGTGCTTGCGCACCTATTCAGAGGAATAATGTAGCTCAGAGTGCTCTGTGACTCAAAAGGAACATGTAGATTGCTGTCATTGCAATTCTACTTAGAATGATTGAAAGGAAAAGAATGGGAAATGAGGATGGGCTATCTGTTACATCCATTATATAATTATGGTAGTCTCAATTATTTTCTCTCTACCTTGTATATTCAAATGACCATAGGTTGAAACCACTGAGCCAGAATATCTTGTTTAATTTTCACCAGTTTTGGATTTGATCTCATTTATCATGGGCTTTAGGATCAGGGCAAAGCTTAAGACCTAGTTGTGACGAAGATTAACCTATAGGAATATCCTTGAGCAAATTACTTAACCTAAGTTTAGATTCTTCATAGATATAAAACAAAGGTAACTTTATCTCATTAAATGGTTAACACATTCCATTAGCAACATTTTTATACTTATACCCGTGTGTGTGTGTGTGTGTGTGTGTGTGTGTGTGTGCGTGTGTACCCACCTAGTAAGAGACTGTATGGTCTTCTTTGTTTGAAGAACACTGACTAGCAAGTGGTCAATAGGAACTCAATAAAAATTAGTTTCCTTTCCCCTTCCTTTGGTGAAAGCACTTGGTAAAGAGGAAGAAAATGTAAAAAAGGTATTACTTTTTTTTTTTTTTTTCAGTAAGCAGAAGCAAGAAGAAAAACAGCCAGATAAATTAAAAGAGGGAGCATGAGCGCCATATATTTCCTGGTTCATGAATGTGTATGAGACTGTGGCCTGATATTAACCCCAGATTTCCAAGCCAGTCCCATTGGGCATATTCATAAATGCATCTAACCGTTTGGTGCCCACACAATAAATGTGTAAATTCAGTTACCTTGCTGATTATGCGCCCATTTGCAAGCACACCCTCCTCTGAAAAACTCAGCACTGGAAATACTGCCAATAATAAAATTGTGTAAATAGGCAATATTTCTTACTTACTTACTGACAGTCAGTAACGTTTTTAATTCCACGCCTGTGAACCACTGCAGGTCTTCTTGAAGCCTACAGCAGTATTTAAACTCTGTAGTTCAAAGTAAAAGCTTCACTATTAGATAATGACATCAATTAAACCATTTTTATTTTTAAGTCGGAAGCAATAACTAATATTTCTACGTACCTCTTTGCCAGCTGTTAGATAGATGTAGATATTCTTTACGGGGTCAGGAACGAGTTTGTAGAAAATAGGTGTTTCCTCTTTAATTTCGTAGATAACCTCTGGGCAATTTGAAGTCAAATTCTCATCAAGAACAACCTATTTTTTTTTTTGTTCAAACAGAAAAATATGATGTCTATTAAATATTTTGAATAGCAAAGTGGCCAAATTTGTAGTTTATCCATAAAGACGCATCCTTTCTTACTCACTACATATACCAGTTAAGGTATCATGCTCCTTAATCATTCTTTCATGCCTTAGTCTTCAACAAGGCTGATAATAACAAGTGTGGCATTTCTGGTTTTTTGGAGCCAAAGTCACCAAAAACGAACTAATAAACAAAGCAGTCACTCATCAAAGCTAGGGCAGTATCCTCTTAAGTGGAAGTTTGTTGTCCACAATTTCTGACCACGTCTCGGTCCTATAACAAGCCACAAGTGACAGCTTCATTAGTGCTGTGCCAAAAGTTACCCTGAAATGAAAGGGCGTAGCTCTCAACATATATTTGCAGAGTTACTCTGATTTTTCTATGTGATTCTACATAGTAATGCACTTTAAAGTAACCTAGACAACATAACAGGGATGGATAGTAGAATATGTTTACATATAAAATATAAACAAGTGTGATTCATTTTGCAGTGGCTTTGAAATTGAACATACCTGAGATTCACTTATCTTCAATCAACACACATCTATTGAATACCCAGTGGGTATTTAGCACTGCTCCAGGTGTCTGGAAAATGGCAGTGAATAAAAGTGAAAGGGATAGATCCTGCCTTCGTAGAACTTACAGTCTTGTGAGTGTGTGCATGCATGTGTGTGTAGACGTGTGTGCGTGCCTATGTGTACGGGGATTGTGGCAGGCTACTAGCAACAGCAAAGTAATATATAAAATGTGAACAAAAATCCAATGTTGTACACTGTAAAAATACATAGTGATTCAACATAAGTTAAAAAATTAATTAACTTTTAAAAGTAAAATATAAAATATACTAGAAGATAACATAAGTCAAGATAAAGTAGGGTAAAGAGATAAAGAAGGAATGCTCAGGCCAGGTCTTCTTGAGACTTGCAGGAGGTGATGGAGTGAGTCATGGAGATGTCTGGATGACACCTGTTCTTAAAAGAGGCCCTGACAGTGGGAAGACCCTAAAATGGGAGGAGGCCAGTGTGGCTCTTGCAGAGTGAGGTAGAGAGGAGGGGGCAGTGAAGAAGTGAATTAACAGGGGCAGATAATGTAGGGTCTTTTAGGCCTGTGTAAAGAGTTTGCCTCTTACTCTAGTTGACAGAGAGGAAGCCATTGCAGGGCTTTGAGTAAAGAAGTGATGTCGTGAGTAGACAGGGTGTGAAGTTTGAAGACAAATGGAAGACTATTACCGTAATCCTGGGAAAATACGATGATGGATTGGGTTCGTGTTTGCATCTTGGCTCTATCTAGTGCCATTGTACTTACTTAACTGTCCAGTGCCTCAATTTCCTCATCTCTAACTTACTTAACCCTCCAGTGCCTCAATTTGCTCATCTCTAAAATGGGGCTAACAGTGCCTTCTTTATAGCTAGATTTCATAGACTCAAATAAGAATTGTGAAAGATACTTAGCACATAAGCAATATTCAATAGATGACAATCTATTAGTATAATGGATTGCAAATTCCTTTTGGGTAGGGACCACGTCCTAATCACATTTGTACCTATCCCTTACCTAATACAGTACTGTGAAAAGTGAATGATATGGTTTGGATAGTAGTTTGCTTCCCCAAAATTCATGTTTTGGAATTTGGTCTTAGTGAGTGGTGATTGGTTGTCTACCAAAAGTTCACACATTGGGACTCAGTTGTGTTGTAAGGTGTTAAGTGATAACTTAATCCCTTCGTAGTTCCCAGGGTGGGACTTCTGGGTGTGATAACATTAGGAAGGGCCTCATGATTGGGTCCTGGTGTGTTATAAAGAGAGGAAATGAGGCAGGCAGAGGCCATATGGATACAAGACATGCTGTGCTGTGCTCCAAGTCTGACTTTTGTCATTTCGTGACAGCATTCAACTTTCCAGCCACCATAACTGTGAATCAATAAGCCTAAATATCTTTATAAACCACTCAGTCTCAGATAGTTCTGTTAGCAATGCAATAACAGACAGGGAAAGTGAAGCTGTTCAACATTTTGCCAGTTTTAACACATACAGATACGTTATCTGTATATCTAGTTATATTTCTAACACTGTGAGTGTCAGTTACATTAGGCATGAAATTTGGAAAAAAAAAAAAAACCTGAGATTCTTCTTAGACAAAGCTACTTTCATAAACCTACTGATCAATTATAAGCCTGTACCCACATATCCTGATGGCAATCAGATATTTACTATTTAACTGAAGACCCATCAATGAGCATCTTTCTGCATTCACTCTCCTTCCAGGTCCTGCGCCAGTGTCTGCCTCTGCCCTGTGACCTGGGACTCTGTTCCATCACCTGCTTGGGTCAAGCAGGGACTCTGTGCAATGCTGTCTCACTCGGTTCCCTAGGACAGCTTATCAAATTCAGTAGCAGCTCTGCAAAAGTTAATCTCACTAACCAAATATATAAAATATGGCTTTTTAAAAAATCTCTTTTTAAACAGAGGCAGTTGAGTCTCAAGAGAGGTGGGGAAGGTCTGTGCCTCAAGTCGTGTAAAAATGACTCAATAGTTGCATTATCCAATAGTGTAGTGACTAGCCACAGATGGCTATTCAAATTTAAATTAAAAATTCACTTCTGCAGTCACACTAGCCACATTTCAAGACTAGCCATGTGTGGCTAGCGGCTACCATATTGGAAAGCACAAATATAGAACATTTCTACCATCACAGGAAGCTCGTTCATTCATACTTTCTTCTTGCTTTCTTATTTTTCTTTCTTCCTTTCTTTTCTTTCTTTTCCTTTTTCTTTCTTCTTTCTTTTTTCCTTTTTTTTCTTTCTTCCTTTCCTTTTCTTTCTTTAATTTTAGGTTTCTGTTCTAAGGCAAGTGTGCTCCCCAGAGACACAGAGAGTGACAGGGAGAGGGAGAGTGAGAAATCACCCCCGCCCCCCCAGAGCGGGGGAGCTTGGCCGTGCCGCAATCCCTTCTCTACTCTCCTCCTAGGATTTTTGGGATGCATGCACACAGGTCCAACATGATTTTCAAGTCACCAGGTCTGGGACTCAAACCACAGTTGGCCATTTGGAAGACTAGCACATTAACTACCATGCCACTTGCTAGCCTGCTGAAGTTTTTGTTTTTTGTTTTTTGTTTTTTTAATTTGAGGCTAGGTCTCACTGCAACATGGTCCTCCTGCCTCAGTCTCCCAACTGGGATTCCAGGTGCCACATGCCATCATGTCTGGCCATTTTCTTTTTCTTTTTTCTTTTATTGGAAAGGTTTTTGCTATAGGGCATGTGCGCTCGCCAGACAGACAGAGAGACAGAGAGATAGAAAGCAAGAAATCACCCCCCAGGGGGGATGGCCACACCACAATCCCTTCTCCTCCATTCTCCTCTCAGGATGTTGGGCACGCACGCACATGCACCCCGTGTGAGTTTAAGCCGCCGGGTCCGGGACTCGAACCACGGTTAGCTACATGGGAGTTCAGCGACATAGCCATTAAGCTAACTGCTGGTCCCATGTCTGGCCATTTTCTGGACAAGGTGTCACGGCATTATTCACACCAGCTTTAAACTTATGATCCTCCTGCCTCAACCTCCTGTATTTCTGGGATTACAGGAGCACACCACCATGCCTGGCCTTTAGGTTGGACCTGCAATTGAACCCTGGCCTCCCACATGGTCCTAGCCTTTAAGACAGTGTCTTGATGTACATCACCACAGCTGAGTCTCATCCCAGAAAGTTCTATTGGACAATTCTGTCCTATGGAAAACTGAGTGAAGGACAGTGGGGTATTGACTAAGGAATAGATTCACTAAGACTTGTCATCTTTAACTCATAACCTTCAGTAATCTGCTCAATTCCAACAGCTGATCTGATTCTGGAAGTGGTTGCATAGAAAAGGAAAAACAGGAAGCCAGTTACCAAAAAAATGTTTGATAGAAATATTTTTAAGTGAAGATGAATAAAAAACAGTCTCCTGTCCAGGTATGTCTTCAGGAATTCATATTAAAGGTCTCATTTGGCAGTGCCATCTACAGCATATTATTATGTTTTAAAATTTTGCCAGAAGGTATGTGTGCTTGCCAGAGACAGTCAAGGAGAAAGAGAAAGAGAGGGAAAAATCAACCTCTAGTGGGATGTGCTCATTCCACAATCCCTTCCCCTCCATTTCTCCATCTTGCTGGGATTTGGGGCATGCATGTACACATGCCTGGTGTGTTTTTCAAGCCACCAGGGCTGGGATTCAGACTGTGTGGTCTGCCATGTGGGATCCGGCTCCCTCAACTGCCACATCACATAGCTGGCCTTGGGACATATTCTCGCCAATAAAGGCAAGCCTAAACCTAATAAAATATTTTAGTGCCAACTTGTATTTAGCATTAGGAAGCTGACGGAGTAGAGGAACAAGTGAAATAACACCACAAGGAAGCAAAAAGCCAAAGCCACAGTGTAAGATCTCCTAGGACAAAGGATTTGCTTTTTCAGTGAGTCAAAGCCAAAGGTAAAGGAGGTGGCTGCTCTAGACACATGAGACAGAACAACTAAATGCGCCTGAAGACTTTGGATACCAATTGGAACAAAACTTTTTTTTAAGAGGTTTTTGGCCATAGGGCGCATGCGCTTGCCAGACAGAGAGAGAGACAGAGAGACAGAAAGTGAGAAATCACCCTCCAGGGGGATGGCCACACCACAATCCCTTCTCCTCCATTCTCCTCTCGGGATCTTGGGCACGCACGCACACGCGCCCGGTGTGAGTTTTAAGCCACCGGGTCCAGGACGCGAACTGCGGTCGACTACATGGGAGTCCAGTGACATAGCCATTACGCTAACTGCTGGTCCCGGAACAAAACAATTTTAAAGACCTTTTGAGTAATCAGGAAAATTCAGTCATAATGACCAAACCGTAGATAATCCTAAGGAATTACTAATAGTTTTGTTTGCTGTGATGACGACATTATGGTTATAGTTATTAAAGACAATGA